GCCCCATCTTCCTTCCGAGGAGTGGCTAGTGGGTTTGAACCACCAGCCTTCTGGTTTGCAGTCAAGTGCCTTAGGCACTATGCTACCAGAGCTCCTTTTAGGGACAGTAGACCTCAGTTATCTAGCTACTACGTATTAACATGGTTTTGTTTCTCCCTGCTCTTAGTTTTATAGGCATCTTACATTTATAACAAGTGATACTTATTTTCAAATATGCAGTAAGCAAATTTCTTTGTAAAATTGTATTTAAACTAAAATAAGTGAGACGTTTTTAAAAACAATTTAAAAGATAATTAGAAAAATGTCAAGTAAACAAGAGAATGGGTTAAAAAAAAAAACAAAAAAACTCACTGCTGTCGAGTCGATCCGATTCAAAGCGACCTCTCCTTGGGTTTCCCAGGCGGTATCACTACGAAAAGTAAATTGCCCAGCCTTCCTTCGGAGGAGTGGCTGGTGGGTTTAAATCGCCAGCCTTTTGGTTAGCAGTCAAACGCTTTAGGCACTACGCCGCCAAAGGATGTAAGACGTGAATAAAGCAAAAATTGTGAACTTTTGGGAAATACGGTGGTGGGTGTAAAATGAGTCTATGATGGATTATAAAGGATGGACAAAATGAGATTGTGATTATGTGTAAAACCGCCTGAATAGGCCACTGCCGCACGCGTGGCACAACCCCTCTCTCTCTCCAAGTCTCAGTTTATCCAACAACAAAAATGGGAGATGATCTTGCAGTCTCTCAGTCAGGGGTTCAGGTCCCTTAGCCCAGGCCGCAGGCCCGTTGCCATTGGCAACCACGGGGATTTCCGCCAAGGGTTCCCGCAATCCCCGGCGGGGCTCGGCCTCTCCCTCCTCCCGCACTGCCCCTCTCCTCACCACTGCTCGGCTTTATCTCTCCACGTCAACACCGCCCTCATCGTGGCTTCCCTTTCGCGTCGGGCCCCTCCTCCCAGCCTCAGCCACAGGCCCCACTCTGCAAGCCACTTTGGCTACCTGCGCTACCCCTGGCAACGCACATGTGCAGTGAGCTAGGCGCGAGACCAAAGATTTCCAATGCGCATGACTAAAACAGAGTGCTAGGAAAGGCGCAAAAGCGAAGAGGGCATCCGAGCCAAGGAAACGCAGGAGTAACGAGGATGCGCTCGATTGGCCGGGGCGGGTGGAGGGCGGTGCGTCTTGCTAAACAAAAGAGTTGATTGGCTGAGCCGTGGAAAATGGAGCTGCGACTGAAATGGGGTGGCCGGGAAGTAGCTGTGGCGTCGGACTGACTTTCACTTCCTTCAACCTTTGGTTTTAACCTAAGACGCTGAACTGAATAAACTTATGCGTCTTACTCCTCCCTAGCGACCGCCCTGCTGTGGAGCTACTGCAGTAGCTCCAGTTGGAGCCTGCTCGAGGAGTGTGGCTGGGATGGAGAGTCCAAGCCTGGGGGACTGCGAAGCTGGCCCCTCAGTCACCTCAAGTGAGCGCCTTCTCCCAGACCGGCCATGTAACATCTGGCAAGTGATTGTCCCCTTTGGGGCCTCAGTTTCACTACCTGTAAAGGGGCGATTAGAATGTGTGTGAGCCTTTCTAACCTTGACATTCTCGGTTTGACAGAGACCTGGGGGCCCAGAGATGTAGTTCCTAGGAGGGCTGGAGCGCAGGTACACTTCTAGTGGTCAGCGCTCTTCCTTCTCCGAAACCATGAGGGAGCTGGGAGGAGCAGGGAGGTTTTATGGTGCAAGGAGAGATCTGCTTGGGTTGGAGCATCTCAGGAAGACCTCAGGGGAGGTGGACCTAGATTTTGTATTGTCATGTTAAGCAGCGAGGATGACCCCGGAAATGGGCACTATAAAAAGTTACAGGAAGAGAACTAGTCTTTATACTGATTACTTGTATTTGTGTGATACGCGGCTCAGATGATTTACCTACATTTTTCAATCATCGTCAGAGGATGAAGGAGATGAGGAATTACCTCTTTATTTTTTTTTAACAGATGGAGAAACGGCTTTGAGAGATTAAGTAATCTGTTCTACAACACACAGCTAATAAATGACAGAGCTGGGATTTGAACCCAGTCTGTTGACCTCGACATTTGTATTGTTTTCACCAGGTTTTGGTTTCCTTATATCTAAAATTTTGAACTATATAATTTTATCAGATGTCACTCAGCTCCCCAAAATTGTTTAACCCCAAATTAGATCAGAAAGCTTTGATTCTAATTCTAGTTTGTCACTAGCTCTTGCTTGGCCCCCACCCAGCCTCATTTTTAGAAAAGAAGTTGGTTTAGATGGTCTCTGCAGACCTATCCAAATTTTAAAAGGCAGGATTAAGTGATTAGGATACACCCTAGTGAAATTTTTCAATAATAATATAGGGGGAGAAGTATTAAACCAAGATTGGTAGAACTGGGTTTGGGTATCAGTTCTGCAAGTAAACTTTCTGTTACTCAACTTTATTAATAAAATGAGAATAATCCTTATCCTACGAACCTCACAAAGTGATCAAGATTGAAGAAGATTTTAAAATTCTGTATCAGAAGTGATTACCTTTTGCATTCACATCTGATGAAAGTGATGGACACTATCCCCAGAAAAACACAGACATATATAAAATTTTCACCTCAGTTTGTTATTTGGGGAGGGGAGTGTCACTGATTCTTTAAGCTTGTCTCTTGATCCCAGAATAAGAGCTCAGGTGTTGGTTTGTATTCTTAAATACATGCTAGCTAATCACCAAGAATCTTAAGCAAAAATAATTTCTAAGAGTAGCTTGAGTTTTTCATTGTGCAAATAGTTCCAGCTCTTTTTAACCCATGTTGAAGGACAGAAACCTGAAGATAGCTTGTCCCATAGCACCAGAGTAGTCCATTCAGATTTTAATTTTCACATTTTATCTAAATAATCTGTGTGCTTCTCACCGTATCATAGGCAAATTGAGTAAACATTGGAAAATAAATTTTACATGAACTGATCACCTGTATTTTGTTTTTCAGTGAGGAAGATACTGCTCTGGGACCAGAAAGAGTAAGAGAAGATGAGAAACAAACGGTGATTAAAAGCAGCAGTGAGTGTAATCCCCTGTTCCAAGAACCCATTGCTTCTGTTCAGTTTGATGGTACTGCAATGACAGAATGCCATAAGTCTGTCCCTTGCGGTTGGGAACGAGTTGTGAAGCAAAGATTATCTGGGAAAACAGCAGGAAGATTTGATGTATATTTTATTAGGTGAGCATTCAAGGTGGTAAAGATCACACAGCCAGATATGTTTTTTCTAGACATGCAGTAGAATAGCATAGCAGGAATCTTGGCTTATTTCTGTTTTTACCATGAAACCATTGTAGATTCAGTTCCTTCAGTGTCACTTTATATATGCTTTGTCCATCCTACTGAAAGGATGAAGGTGCTTAAGTTATGTTTATAAAATTATACTATTATGGAAGAAACCATTTAAAAGTACCATTTTACCACTGTTATTTTCAGTGACACATACTATACCCATGTCAATATTTGGAAATTATTAATTAGAAATTTTAAATATGGTTTAATTCTTTTTAAAAGTCTTTTCTGTTTACTAGCAATAAGTTTCCTTTAATATCGTTTTCTAGCCCTCAAGGACTGAAGTTCAGATCTAAAAGGTCACTTGTTAATTATTTTCACAAAAATGGAGAGAGTTCTCTTAAGCCAGAAGATTTTGATTTTACTGTGCTTTCTAAAAGGGACATCAAATCAAGATATAAAGACTGTAACAAGACAGCTCTCATGCCCCAAGTGCAAAAGGAAAGTAATAATTCAAACCAGAACCCCAGGACACATAAAAAGCCGAAAAAAGATGTGTTATCTCCGCCACGCAATAGTTCAGAATTACAAGATAGCAGAGGACTATCTAACCTTACTTCCATTAATTTGTATATGAAAGAAGATGAGAATGTTAATGATGTTAACTCCAGAAAGATTAGAAAGTTGAAAGGAAAGATGACTATTTTGAAAAGAATTCAAATTAAAAAAACTAAAAAAGAGTGCTGGAAGAGTCTTCCAGATGCTGTTCCAAGTAACAGAAAAAGAGAATCTACGTATAATAAAGCAGATGTTGAAGGTGAGCCTGTTGTACAAGAAAGTCAGCTTCATAGAACTCTCTGCATTTCTGATTCCAAAGCGAAAGACGAACCCCTTATTGTAACTGAAGAAGAAAACAGATTTGTAGAAGAGAAATCATTGCATTCAGGATCAGATTTTCATTTTGAAAAACTAACTACTGGCAGCATAAACAAATTATGTTTGACCAAAGAAGCAGAATACAACAAGAAATGTAAGGATACCTTTTTAGAATCTGAGGCAATCGGAACAAAAGTAGAAGTTGGAGAGAAGAAAAAACATTTGCATATTGACATTTTAAAATGTGGCTCTGAAGTGGACAACAGCTGCTCACAAGCTGAGAAAAAGTTTACTTCTCTGAAAATATTTCAAGGTATTCAGTGCTTTAAAATGCTATTAAATATTGTCTGACTTTATTCCTCTGGATTGTGTGTGTCATGCCTCTATATGGTTAGGACATGTGAACACAGCCAAGAAATGTGGCCAAATATCACATACTTTCTACAAGTCTATTGTGATACCTTGTCTAACTGAACTATAAGCTGTCCAGCTGATCTTCAGTCCCTTTCCTTTGGCAGAGAGGAATTCACCTTAATTTCCCCAGCAAAGGAGGGATGTATGGTTCATAGCTGCCACCATCTCTCCCTGGTACAGCAGCTAGGACTCTATTTTTCAACAGTGCTTTCCCTTCTTCTCATCCTCTTTCCAACCAGAAATCTTAAGACTTTACGGAAAATCAAAAGACTTGTAAAAAGGTTTAGGGAAGATACCTTTTATACATAGACTGGTGTCTTCACACCCCTCCTGTTACTTACGTATGACTTCTAATTTAATTGTGCATATATCATCATCATTTTTATCTTCTGGTATAACATAATCTTCCCTAAAATGTTTTAGAGCTCTAAATAATTCAAAACTGTAATCGTATAGTTCATCTATTATTTGTGTTGTTGTTGTTGTTATGTGCCGTCGAGTCAAACCTGACTCATAGCGACCCCTCCTTGGGTTTTCAAGGCAGTATCACTACAGAAGTAGGATTGCCCAACCTTCCTTCCGAGGAGTGTTTTAGGTTCTTAATACGAAGTTGAGAGCTTAGCAGTTTTGCTTTTATAATACCTTAGTGAATAAGAGATAAAAAGGAGACCTTTTGAGCAGCCCTGTATTAGTTATTCATTATGCCATTATGGTATAATGAATAACTCCTTTAAAAAAGAGGAGTAATTTTAACTTAAAACCTATGGGGAAACAGCCTAGACAAATTGGTAGAGCAGGGGGGTTAGGACTTAATTCCTGCTCTTAAACTCACCTGTGATTTTATGTCTTTTCTGTCCCCAGAATTCCTCTACTTTTATAGAAAATGGCCATATGCATGTAGGAACTGCATAAGAATTCTTTAAGTGTCCTTTAAAGACTTGGCGCTCTTAAAGCCTTGAGACTTACATATCGTTATTACTAGTATAATGGGTAAATTAAATATTAAAAACTTCTTTTTGCAACTAAAATGGAAGTGTCCTATTCATCCTGTACCTAAAGAAGTTGAGTTCTCATCATAAGATGAAATAGCCTTAAGGTAATAGGTAATCAGTGGAATAGTAGACATTCTAATTGGCTTAGTTAGAAATTGCCAAATAAACTGAGTTTAGGTCTCTTAGAAATAAAGGAGACTACTTAGTAATTATTTTAGGAAACTGCAGAGAAAATTACCATCAAGTAAGAGCAGTTTCCTTTATTCTGCTACTTTCCACTGGGTTTTACCTGTTCAAACTAGAATAGCAAAAAAAAAAAAAAAAACCTACTAATTATCTGGAGACCTGCATTCTTGTCAGTCTGCCCTCAATTCCAGTATCATTTTGAGATGGTTGCTTAATTTGTAAATCTTATTTTCTTCGTCTGTAAAATGTTGGTAACATTAGTCTTGTTTTCCACATCAAAAATATAAGGTAAAGTGAGAAGTGAAAAAGATGATGTTATGCTATACAAATGCAAGATATTATTAGCTGATAATCAAATTTAGAGAGTATAGCTAAGGGGAGTATTAACTGATGATTTAGAGAGTTGGGAAGTTTGATAAATTTGGTCACATAGTCTTTGTTGAATTAACTGAGCTTCCCAGTAGATAGTAGTCATAGGTATTCCAAGGTCCAAATCTAATCAGAGGATCTTAGATTTTTTTCCCCCAGGTTTTGTTTTGTCTACATCCCTTTTTCAATAAGTGTGAAAGTATTCACTACAGAACTCTTGAAGAAAATAAAAACCACTGCTCAGTAACAATTATACCATTTTGGTTTATTTCATTCTAATCTCTATAGCTATTTGTTTTTCTTTTTTTATAAAATTTGGATTATACAGTAAAAACTGCCTTGTTTTTCCAGGTCTTGCAAATTTTCCACTTCTGATAGGGTACAGTCTTACCACTTTTCTGTTGCTCCTTTTAGTGGAAAATAATTTGAGTTTTCCTCCTCTGATATATTTCAGCCTTACACAAGTGCCAGCATTCATGTGTTTTACTATATGTACAATCTTGCGGTTTTTACTTAAAAGTTAACAACAGGGTGACTAGTCATGATGAGGTCTCAAAAATATTTTAATGATTGCATTGTACAATTGTGTCTTAATTTAAAATATGCCATATTGTTTCCAGTCTTTCAGTACTATGAACACTGAACAGAAATCATAGAGAACTAGTCTAACAGTGGTGGTGAGGACGTAGCCTCAGGAGCCAGACTGACTAGAATTGAATTTCATCTTTGACACTTACTAGCTGTGTGAATTTGGGCAAGTAAATTAACTTCTCTGTACTTCAATTTCCTTATCTGTAACAACAACAACAACAATGTGCAGTTAAAAAAGTACCAACCTCATAGATCATTCCAAAAAAAAAAAAACAAACCCATTGCCGTGGAGTCGTATCCAACTCATTGCGACTCCTCCTTGGGTTTCCAAGGCTATCACTAAGGAAGTAGATTGCCCAATTTTCCTTCCAAAATTAGTAGAATTAAATGGGTTGATTTATGTAAAGTGCCTGAGACATATTTAAATGCTTTATAAGTAGTGATATTATTGTCGTTGTTTAGTCTATTGTTAGGCAAAACTATGGAGTCTGTAAACAGTATTTATTCCTTTTCAGAAGACACACCTGTTCCACGAACACAAATAGAAAAAAGGAAAACAAGCCTGTATTTTTCCAGCAAATATAACAAAGAAGGTATTCCTTTCTCAGTCAGAAAATCAGATTTTAAATCTGATGAATAAAATAAAGTTCTAATGCATTATGTTTGTTTAGCTCTTAGCCCTCCACGGCGAAAAGCCTTTAAGAAGTGGACACCTCCTCGGTCACCTTTCAATCTCATTCAGGAAACACTTTTTCATGATCCATGGAAGCTCCTTGTCGCAACCATATTTCTCAATCGGACCTCAGGTGTGTGGATTCTGTTCATCTTTGTCTTAGTAGAGACTATGTGATAAAGGAGAAAGAACAATGAATTGATTAGAAGGCTTGGCTCCAGTTCAGTTTTGAGTCTGTATGACCTTAAATAAGACCTTCCACTTTTGGTTCTCAAACTCTTCACATCTGAGAAAGTTAGATCAGATGATATCCAAGAATTTTAGCATTGGGGGGCAGGTTCCTCATTTGTTTTCTACTTCTAAATTAGTTCTGGACATCAATGAAAATCGGTTATTTAGCATTCCATCCAGCCACTGCCATGTGTAAAAGCAATTTTTCATTGAATGCTTTCTCTAATGTAATTGACACTTTGTGTTCTATATGCTTTCACAGTTCTTATCTGATGATCTTTTAATTCTTTAAAAACTAGTATATAGCGTAGTGCCTAAGGTGCTTGACTGCTAACCAGAAGGCAGGTGGTTCAAACCCACCAGCCACTCCTCAGAAGGAAGGTTGGGCAATCTACTTTTGTATAGATACTGCCTCAGAAATGCAAGGAGGGGTTGCCATGAGTCAGGTCCGACTTGACGGCATATAACAACAACAACAACAATCATGCAAAGTCAGGTTTCAGCTTATTTTGGACTATTAGCCAAATAGATTAATGGTGTTAAATTTTTTTTTTTTTTTACTTTGAAGATAGTTACTTGTTTAGGCAATAGCTTCTTCAGTGGTTTGGGAAAAAAAAAACAAACAGACACTATATTAGATTTCTAGATGAAGAAGTACCTGAACCTGAAATCAGCCCATCTGGAGTCTTGTGATCATACCTTTACTTCCCAGGCAAAATGGCAATACCTGTGCTTTGGGAATTTCTGGAGAAATACCCTTCAGCTGAGGTAGCAAGAACCGCAGACTGGAGAGATGTGTCAGAACTGCTTAAACCTCTTGGTCTCTACGATCTTCGAGCAAAGACCATTGTTAAGTTCTCAGGTATGCTTTCCCATATACCCAAAAAAGAAAACATCAACTTCGTCTTTTTAAAAGAGGCACACCATAAACTTTAATGTCCTTGAATGCTACATTAAGAGAGGTCATTCAGCTCAAGCATTGAAGACATTTAGAAACAGTCTGCTTGCTCTAAACCACAGCCTCCCACTGACTCGAGCAATAAATATTTGCCAGCACTGGGTCAGGCCATGTTGGCAGAATTAATAGGAGAAGTCAGTGAAGCCAGAAGCCCAGTCCTTGACGTCAAGGACTTGTTGTCCTCCATCTAGTTAGCACAGCACAAGTATTAGTACCATGTGAAACGTTCAGAAGAGCGATCACTCGGGCTTATAGGAAAGATTCTTTCCCTTTCTATTACTCTTTCTGTCCTGTTCCCTATCATCACACACGTAGGGAAAGTTACCTTTTTAGACGCTGATGTGATATATGGGGTATTGTATTCTTCAGATGAATATCTGACAAAGCAGTGGAAGTATCCGATTGAGCTTCATGGGATTGGAAAATATGGCAATGACTCTTACCGGATTTTTTGTATCAATGAATGGAAGCAGGTGAGGCCCACTCCCAGCTTATAATCTCTCCAGCATATTTTGTCTCTGAGGCAAAGTCCACCATTATAGCAAAAACTTTTTGTTGAACAAATCACAACCAGTTTTGTTCCCAGCTTGAGGAGCAGCGGGTGGCATGGTATGATTGGTAGCAGGAAGAGGATATACAGACACTTGCAAATCCCCTTGGCATGGTCTCTGACTGACCTCCAGTGGTGTAGACACTTCTGGCCCTCTTTCTTTCCCTGCTCACATACTATCCCTAAGCCCTGGAGCATTTTTTCTGCTGTCACAGTCATAGCCTTCAGAAGTCACCATTACAGGAAAACAGGCATTTGGGGCTTGGAATGTGTGCTTATCAGGTTCTTAGACTATGTTTGTGGTAGCTGGGTCCACATCAGCTACCCATTTTGTTGAGTGAACACAGCCCACAGGCATCTGGGTGGCCTGGTCAATTGCCCTCTAAGTCTGACTCCCCCTAGAGTCTTTGCCAGTAGGTCTGGCCAATCTAAGCTGAAGTTCCACCTGCCAGTCCCCATTTCACCATTTATTTTGACTTGAACAATTCTGGAAAATGAGATAGTAATATTTGACTCATATCATTACCACTCACCCCATGCCAAGTCATAGGAAGGATCAGCACTAAATTGGAAAGTATTTGTAAACTGTAAAGAATTACATGAGTATAAGGCATAGTTTTAAATATTCATGAATCCCGTTAGGGTAAGGGTTATCATTTAAGTGTATTTATGACCAGTATAAGGCCTCTGTGTCTTACTGTGTTGTATTTCTTCCAGGTACACCCTGAAGACCATAAGTTAAATAAATACCATGACTGGCTTTGGGAAAATCATGAAAAATTAAGTTTGTCTTAGAACTTTTTCAAGTTTTCAGTCTTGTTTTTTACGCATTGGTTTTTCACCTCGATTTTTTAGAGCTCCATTAAGCACAACCAGCCACTATTCCAGGCATGTAGATTTAGTCAGCCCGGGAGAAGCCAGTGTGTGTTTTCTTAGTGTGTATGCCACCTGTGGTTCTTTGTCACTGAATGGACTAGACTGTTTTGGGATTTTTTATTTTTATTTTTTTAAATAAATTATTATTTGACAACAATCCAAAAAATGTAAGTAATTTTTCCAGTAATGAAATGTGATGGGAAGGTGGAAAAACTTGTGTAAACTATCCATAATTCAAAGTAAATTTCTGTCAACACTGCTAGAGGAAAGATTAGACTTTCTATTCTCTTTCAATAGAAAATTACATTACACAATTGATATACAAAGAAGCAATCAGAGTTTGCAGCCAAACATAGAAAAAGTATTATGGGGTGTATCAGGCAGCTAATTACTTGGGGGGTTAGGGGGTACCAACTCCTCAAAGAAAAATAAGGTTCTTTTGACAGCAATGTCTTGACAACTTCACACTAGCTTTGAGGAACTAGAGAGTCGACCCAACATCTGTGTGGTAACCTAATGTGAGCATCTGTGGCTCAGTTTTAGCTTCTGCCTTCTAGCTCATGCTTTTTACCTTCATCCCCTCAGGAGAACTTGAGCATTTATCCATCTCTTTCATCTTCCAGCTGGAGGACCAGACATTTTAAGTTTTACTTGATATTTATTACTAATACTGTAACATTGTAGCTCAAATACCAAAACATTTAGTCTAGAAAGAACTCACTAAATAGCCCTCCCCCGCTAAAAAAAACCCTATTGTTAGTCTTAGTTACCAATTGCTATTTTAAGATACAATTTGAAAATTAAATTAATTGGAAAAAACATTGTTAGAGAAACTACTTTTGTTGTAGGGTAGTATAGGAACAGAATTGGGTATTATGTGATGCAGGGCTAGTTGATAATTTTCATTTTAGTGAGAAAGTTTCCATTTTTGGAGAGGGATATATTTTGACCAGAAACAGAAAGCTAGTCACCCCCACCCCTGAAAGCAAACATCTACTTTATCACTATTTAAAAAAAAAAAAAAAAAAAGCGTTCACTAAATGCAAAGCCCTGTGCTAGGGAGAGGCAAAGATGAAAAGACAGTAGGAACCCTCACAGGGACAGAGAGGCACATACAATAATGGGAGGGACAGGAAGGGCAAGGTATGAGGATAGGATATGCAAACATGGCAGCTAAAAGTATAGCATTTGAAGTTAATAAGTTTATACACCTTTAAAAAATGGCAAAAGTTGTGTGTGACAGATAGATTTACCATAACAAAAATATCTGCTGAGACTGCTTTTGTATGACCAAAAATCTTACAGGATTTGGTTCCTTGGTTTAGGGTCATAGTTTCATGAGAAGTTCCAGTTAATTGGCCTAATAATGTATTTAGTGCTGTTCTACCTCCTAGTTTGTTGCACTGCATAGTGCCTGGGATCTTAAAAGCTTGCAAGCTGTCATCCAAGGCACAACAATTGGTCTCTATTCACTTGGAGCAACAGAGGAAGAGTCAGGAATAGGAGGAGGATATAGTATGTGTGGCTGATTGTCTCCATAAACACCTGCCTCCTTTGACATGAGACCAGAAAAATTGGATGGTGCCTGGCTACCATTATTAAACATTTTGATCAGAGATTCTATAGAAGAATCCTGATCAAAAGGGAGGAAATGCAGAACAGAATTCCAAATTCTTACGGAATCCAGACGCTCTGGAGGCTGGATGAATCCTTGAAACTATTCCCCTAAGATAAACTTTAAAACTTAAATCAAAATATATCCTCTGAAGTCTTCTTAAAATCAAAAATAGTTCAGCTAAACTAGTTAAAAAAAAAAAAAGTATGCCTTGACAATTCCTTAAAAAGTTGGAATTAGAAATACCATTTGACCCAGCCATTCCATTACTAGGTATATATCCTAAAGAAGTGAGAGCCATGACAAGAATAGACATATGCACACCCGTGTTCATCACAGGACTATTTACAATAGCCAAAAGATGGAAACAGCCTAGGTGTCCATCAACTGAGGAATGGATAACCAAACTTTGGTACATACACACAATGGAATACTATGCAACCCTAAAGAATAACCTAGAATCTGCAAAACACCGCATAATGTGGATGAACTTGGAGGACATTATGCTGAGTGAAGTCACAGAAGGTCAAATATTGTATTAGTCTGTTACTGTAAAAATCAAGGAAAGGTTTATCTATGGAAGGCAATTTTCTTTGTTGGTTACCAGGGGTGGGAGGGGAGGGAACACTGTTAGGTAGGTAGGGATAAGTATTGATTTGGGTGAAGAGAAGAGCAATGTACCAAATGTAAGTGATCAGCATGGTGGCATTGAGGAAGAGGAAGACAGAGAGGTACATGGGAGGTACAGACAACAAAGGTGAATCCTTTTGCACATACAGTTCTGTGTTGTCAGTGAAGGCAAACATGGTTATATGGGTAGATAGATGGGTGGACAGGCTGAACTATTAGGTATGTCTATGAAGCAGGGAGTGTACCCAAGACCATGTATAGGGTTGGCAGACAATGGTCCTATAAGTGTATTTGTATGATCTGAATTCCCAGGTATATAGTAGAGCTGACAAGGGACAAGTTTGTAGTCACTTCTTGGTCACAGCCAGCTACCCAGAGGGACTGAGCAGTTGAACCTGTGGGCTCAGGACTATAGTCGCAGAAGACATCAAGCTCAATTGGCATAACATAATACACAAAACATTGTTCCACCTCCTAGTTTGGCGAATAGCGTCTGGGATCTTAAAAGATTGCAAGCAGCCATCTAGATGCAATGATGGGTCTCTCCTCGTCCAGAGCAAAGAAGAATGAAGAAAACCAAAATTCATGGAAACAATTAGTCCTAGTGACTGGCACACCATTGCAATCGGCAGTCTATATGACTACGAGACCAGAAGAACTAGATGGTGCCCCTAGCTACCCCTGTCAACCACTAGGAGGGGATCTATGTAGGAGATCCTGCATAGAGAGGGAGAACAATGTGGAACAAAACTCAAAATCATTTGGGAAAAAAAAAGGGACCAGGTTTGCTGGTCTGATGGAGCCTGGTGGAACCACTGAGACTATGGCCCCTAGCTGCCCTTCAGGTCTGGAATTGAACCCACACCTGTGGCTTCCAGCCAAACAAAAGACAGGCATAGGAGTTGAACATTTACATTAGGTAGATATATTCCTCGGAGAGAACAATCATGAAAGAATAGAAGGGCTATTTATGCACAGAGAGACAGCTCGGGGCAGGAGTGCATGGAGGGAAGGACACAGGGAAGAAGTAACGGAGGAAATGGGAATGAAACTGTTGCATTGGGGTAAATTGTAGTCAATGTCATGATACAAAGTATATGTGAACTGCTGTATGGAGAGAATTTGCTCTGTAAACTTTCACTCAAATCACACAAAAAGATAAAGTCTGCCTTGAGCATTATGCTTTTTTTAAGAACTACCTATTTGGGTTCAAAGTGACAATAGCAACTTGAAAGATATGATAGGAACCTTAGGGGGCAGTAAGTTTATGTTAATAGAGGAGGAACAGTTTGGAAAAGGAGGGTAAGAATGGTTGCACAACTTAAAGAATGTCACTGAATTGTACATGTAGAAACGGTTGAATTGGTATGTGTATTACTGTGTATGTTCTCAACAAAAATAAAGTAAATTTTAATAAACTATAGCAGGGCCTCTGAAATCCTGGGCCACAACTGGGGATTGGAGGGGCAGGGCAAGCTCAGCAAGTTTGGGGCATCAGGTGTGGTTGGGTGGCAGGGTCTGTTGTCAAATCTTCCACCAGCATCTCCATCAGGAGGTGGTCTGTGTGGATATGACCACACTTTAACTGTGGAAGTGAGCCCAGACCAGAGCCAGGATGCTCACGTTCGAGTGCTGACTCTTCCCCTTACCTGCAGATGAGGTTGTATGACCTCAGTACCTGTTCTCTCATCTCTTTAAAATGGGTGCCTACTTCACAAGGTTATTGTGATTATTAACACATGTAAAGTGTTTCAAATGATGCCTGGTATAGGAGAGTCAATATGGCCCATTATCTAAAATGGAAGCAGTCTCAGGGACTAACTTAATATTGTTTAGAGGGTCACCGAAGATAATGCACTTCAGTAGAGGTGCTCCCCTGCAGAGATTAAGGGCTCAAGCATTTGATTTTAACTTCTTTTGAGATAAAATTCACCATTTTAACCATTTTTAAATGTATAATGAAGTTTTAATACATTCACAATGCTCTGTGATCATCATGACTACCTAATTCCAGAACATTTCCATCACCCCAAAAATAAACCAAGTACCCATTAGGAGTACTCATTCTTTTTCTTCCCCAGCCCCTAGCAACCACTCATCTTCTGCATATTTCATGTAAATGGAATCATACCACGTGTGACTTCTTTTACTTAGCATAATGTTTTCAAGGTTCATCCACATAGCATGTATCAGCTGCAATTCCTTTTAATAGCTGAATGTTCCATTGTATGGATATGCCACATTTTGTTTACCCTGTCCTCAGTTGATGGACATTTCAAGTATTTAGTACTAATAGTCCTATTCTTGGGTTCTGTAATTCAGAACCATGGCATCCTGTCATTTATTTGGCCACCACTGGAATTCCCATAAGGAGCTCTGGTGGCACAGTGCCTAAGGCATTTGACTGCTAACCAGTAGATTGGTGGTTCACACCCATCAGCCACTCCCCGGAAAGAATACTGGCCAGGTAAAGACTTACCACTTCGGAAACCGAAGGGGCTCACTATGAGTTGGAATCAACTGGATAAATAGCAGTGGGTTTGGTTTTTTGGGGGTTTGGGATTCCCATAATCCTCTGAAGGAGGCAACAGGCCTGAGGATACAGGCTTAAAGTGATGTAGAGACCTGCGGGGGATCCCGTTGTTTACAGGAAAAGCCAAGGATTTATGACTCCAAATTCAGGGGCCACTGAGCTAAACTAAGAAACCCCGCTTTTCACCAACCACGGCTACAACTCCTGGCATCTTCCTGTATGGGGCTAAAGGAAACCCAATCCGCCCGCTACCCGCACGCGCCGCGCTCAGCCAACCGGCGTGTGCGAGCCCTTTGTCATGGCAACCAGAACGCTACTTCGAGGTGCGCGGCCATGCCCTTCGCAAAACTTGTAATTAGGGTTTTTCTAGTGACCTAGCACCCCTGCAAGCAAGCACACACATATATATATACACAACGCATATATATATTCACACACTCTTTGGAACCTGCTTCCAGCGTCGTGACCATGGACCACTCCAGAGAACCGCACAAGACGCTTCTCAGGTCGTTGCTTGGTAAGCTCCCCGGATGCAGCGCCTTCTCCAGGAAGCCCTCAGCCCCTTGCAGACGCATGAAAGTGAGGTGAGGGCAAGGACAGGGGCGGAGATCTCATAGTATCGTCCCTCTCTCTTGGTGAGAGGTTGCAGGGGGAAGCAGCAGCAGGTTATGCTAATTTTTGTTTTCATGCCCAGACTGGAAGAGTAAAACCAGAGTGTGTCCGGAAAAGTTGGCCAGCCCCTCTGGCTCTCCCTATGTTTCCGCTGGACACTAAATGTGTTAAGTCATGGAGAAGAGTTTCAGATCTCAAGCTGTTGTCAACAACCTGCTGTGGGTCAAGCAGGTAGCAAAGCACCACAGCTTTGGAGGCAAAAGAGAGAGAAAAACGGGTAATTGCAGAATAATAAAGGTTGGAAGAAAGGGAGGACCCAGGCAGTAAGAGGTCTACCGAGTGTAGGGGATGGGGAGGAACAGTTAATCCAAGCTCCTGGAAAAGTTCTTTACACTGAAGCTTAAAGGAGGAAAAAGAGTTCTCCAAGCCAAAAGTGGAAGGAAAGGTATTTCAGGCCAATGAAACAACATGCATAGAGGCGCAGAAACATGGTGTCCTCAGGAAGCTGCTGATAGTTTGTGGATATCTGGAGACAAGGTTCGAGAGGTCATAAGGGACTAGATCATGAAAGGTTTTATAAGCCAGGAGAGGGGAAGCCTCGGGAGTGAGAGGATTGGATTGGTAGCAGTCAGCAAATGTGGAGACTGAATAGGCAGACTCAGTCCTGGAGGTGGGGAGATGAGGTCTGGGGTTGTCCCAAATGGCCAGGCCAAAGATGCTGGGTGGGGAGGGAGTCTAGGACAACAGAAACTTGGGGACTGATTAGATGAGGAACCAGAAGGAGCAATCAGAGACAATGCCCAGGTTGGCAGATGGAGGTGTCATTCACCAAGATAAGAAACCTACAGGGAGAACCACATTAGGTGAGGACAGAGGCATGAAGACAAGTTCAGTCTTAAATTTGCAGAGATGTTTTACGATCAACTGAATGTATAAGATTCTAGCTAATTCCAAGTCAGAAATATTGGCATAGGTGTCCTCAGCATACAGAGGGTTATAGAAACATGGGTGTGGAGGAGAATGAAAAAAGACAAGAGCCAGATGCAAGCCAAGAGAACACCAGCTTTTAAGGGGTGAGCAGAAAAGAGGAGCCCAAGAACAAGTGGCCAGAGAGGTAGGGTGGACTTTAAGCAGAGATTTGAATCAGAAGCCAAGAGAGGGAAAAGTCTGAAGAGTATGGGGAGTTGTCTCTGGAATCCTGAAGGGCTGTCACAGAAAAGAGTGAACAAATGTGTTTTCTGGGGCATCAGTTAAAGCATTTGGCTGCTAACCACAGGGTCAGTGGTCCGAACCCACCAGTTGCTCCATTGGAGAAAGAGGAGGCAGATTCCTTCCATAAAGATTTACAGCTGTGAAAACACTATGGGAGCAGTTCTGCACTGTCTTGTAGGCTCATTATGAGTCAGAATCAACTTGATGGGGGTGAGGTTTTGTTTTTTTCGGGGGCAGGCATCAGTGGGAAGGACTAGGACCAAGAGGTACACATTCTAGGGGAATAAATTCTGGCCCAATATAAGAAAGTATTTTCTAACAGTCAGAGTTTGATGTCTACAAAGTTAAGTAGAGAGCTCCCCATCACTGGAGGTGTGCAAACAGAAGCAAAATCTACAAGGCCACTATTGAAAGAGTTCCTGACCTGGGAAGGAGATTGAAGCAGTGGCTTCTGAGAGCTTTCATCACCAATCCCCAGGGAGCATTTGCACACAGTGTCCGTGGATAACTAAGTGGCAAAGGCCTCGTTTATTATGAGAGCTCCCCTGACTTGCCTATTGGTGGACATAGGACCCCAAAGATCACCACACTGCAGGCTCCATTTGAAAGAATGGCCAGAGGAGTGCTTTCTGAGGGGGATGATGTTTGGGCTGAGAACAATATGATGGGAAGGACTCAGCCAGGGGGAAGTTTGAGGAATGGTATTCCCTTCAGAAGGCACAGCCAATGTGAAAACCTAGAGCCAAGAGTGGAGTGCTTAGGGAATTTGATGAAGAACAAGGAGGCTGGAGCCGAGGGAGCAAGGGGAGGAGAGTATAGCTTTATAGGCCCTAACCAGTTGCCATAGAGTTGATTCCAACTCATAGTGACCCCATGTGTGACAGAGAAGAAATTAAAAAAGAAAAGAGGAGGGGGAGGGGGAGAAGGGAGAAGGAAGAAGGAAGGAGGAAGAAGAGGAAGAAGGAGAAGAAAAAAGAAAGAAAGAAAGAAAAACTGCCCTCCAGCTGATTGCAACTCATAGTTACCCTATAGGACAGAGTAGAATTGCCCCATAGGGTTTCCAAGGCTGTGATCTTTATGGAAGCAAATAGCCACACCTTTTCCTTGCTGAACTGCTCATCACCAGACTGCAAGCTCCATGAGGAGGGTGTGATGGCACCTGCCCAGGCACCATTTGAGAATGCACTATTTGATGGGTTGAACCACTGTCCTTTCGGTTAGCAGCTGAACACTTAACCACTGCTCCTTCCCTGCTAGTACCTGCCATCAAGTTGGTTCCCACTCATGGTGACCCTACAGGATAGAGTGGAACTGCCCCATAGGGATGCCAAGGCTGTAAATCTTTGTGGAAGCAAACTGCCTCATCTTTCTCCCACGAAGCAGCTGGTAGGTTCAAACCACTGACATTTTGGTTAGCAGCTCAGTGCTTTAACCGTAGCACCATCAGAGTTCCTCCTTCCCTATTATTGTTAGGTGCTGTCTAGTTGGCTCTGAATCATAGTGACCCTATGTACAACAGAGCAAAAAAACACTGCCCATCCTCACAATCCTTGCTATACTTGAACCCATCATTGCAGCTACTGTGTCAATCCATCTTGTTGAGAGTCTTCCCCTTTTTCACTGACCCTCTACTTTACCAAGCATGATATCCTTCTCCAGGGAATGGTCCCTTCTAATAACATGATAAAAATAGGTGAGGTGAAGTCTGGCCATTATTGTTTTCAAGGGGCATTCCAGCTGCAGTTCTTTTCTTTTCTTTTTTTTTTTTTTTTTTTTTGTGATTTGGGTGACATTTTACAAAGCAAATACACTTTCCATACAGCAGTTCACATACACTTTGTCTCATGACATTGACTACAATTTAGCACAATGGAACACCTCCTCTCCCACTTCCTCCCGATAGTTACCTCTTCCCTGTGTCCATCTCTCCATGCACTCCTACCCGCTGAGCTGTCTCCCTGTGCCTGAGCAGCCCTTCTTTCTCTCATGCTTATTCTCTCCAGGGAGTGTATCTCCCTCAGGTAAATGCTCAACTGATATTCCTATTGTTTGGCTGGAAGCCACAGGTGTGGGTTCAATTCCAGACCTGAAGGGCAGCTAGGGGCCATAGTCTCAGTGGTTCCACCAGACTCCCTCAGGCCAACAAACCTGTTCCCTGCTTTTTTTTTTTTTTCCAAATGATTTTGAGTTTTATTCCACATTGTTCTCCCTGTCTATCCAGTATCTCCTACAAAGATCCTCTTTCAAGTGGTTGACAGTAGTAGCCGAGCACCGTCTATTTCTTCTGGTCTCTTAGTCATATAGGCTGCAGAGCAGATGGTGTACCAGTCGCTAGGACTAAGTGTTTCCATGAATTTTTGGTTTTGTTCATTCTTCTTGGCTCTGGATGAGGAGAGACCCATCATTGCATCTAGATTGCAGCTTGCAAGCTTTTAAGATCTGTCGCTACTCGCAACAGTAGGAGATGGAACAATGTTTTGTGTAGTATGTTATGCCAATTGAGCTTGATGTCCTCTGTGACTATGGTCCCGAGCCCATAGGTTCAACTACTCAGTCCCCCTGGGTAGCTGGCTGTGACCAAGCAGTGACTACAACCTTGCTCCTTGTCAACCCCATTATACACCTGATTCAGATCATACACATAAAGTTATTGGACCACTGTCTGCCAACCCTATACATGTTCTTGGGTGCACTCTCCACTTCATATACATACCTACATACAGGGAAGCATGAAGAGGTTGAGTGACTTGCACAAGGTCTCACAGACAGAACCAGGACTCAGACTTAAACATTCTGGCTGCATGGCAGTGCTCCACTGCCTCAGAGGACAGACAGGGTCAGGATGGCATTTTAAAAAGATCATTATGGTTGTGAATAAGGAGTACTGAGGACCGGGGTGGAATAAGGTTAGAATCTGAGAAGATCAAATAAGAAAAATTATATAAGCCCTTAGCATAGTACCTGCCACTGAAAGTGCCTGGAAATGCTAGATGTAATTATCTTCATCATTATAGTGAGGTAATAATAAACGAGACATGAAACCTGGGTTCCTGGATGCCCAGCCTGATGCTAAAGAATTTTTCTTCCCTGGCTCCTTTTTGCCCTTTTCCTGAAAGGAACTCATCTTTTGACCCTCTTCCCCCAAGGGCTCTACCAGTCTAAGGTGCCAGCAGACAATGAAAACTCCAGCAAGGCCTACTCCTTCAATCCTGAGCTGGTCATTGCCCATTGCTTTAAGCAATTCAAACAGGAGGACTTCCACCTGCCACAAAGCCGCCGCCGGGTCATCATTGTGCCTTGCCGGGAGGAGGAGCAGATACCTGTCAACCCCAAGCCCCAGCCCCAGGCATCCCCACAGCCTATTCCCAGTTTCAAGGCCCTGCAAGCCAAGGATATACAAGAACAGCTACTGGATACCAAGACTTGGTTGAAGCAGAGGTTGAAGCTTCGGAAGGAGCTGGAGTCATTTGGCAACGTGGAGAGGTGGCTGAAGAACAAGCCCAAATGCACACCTTCGGAGGCCAAAATCTTACGCAGTATCCTCAAGGAGCATATGACCCAGCCAGCAGTTCCCTTGGCTGCTACCCGGGTCAGCAAGGTGAGTAGCCCCATGTGCCAGATGAAGACCTTGAGAAATTTAGGGGCATGTGGTCATTTCATCCTCTTGGGTAAGGCATTGTAAGGATGGTTCTCAGAGGAACAAACAGAAGTCCAGAAAGAGAGTGTATTCGTTATGTATTACTGCATAACAAATAGTTCAAAATTATTTATAGCAGCAAATATTTATTATCTCACTGTTTCTAAGAGTCAAGAATCTGAGAATAGTTTAGCTGGGTGGCTGCGGCTCAGAGTCTCTCATGAGGTTGCAGTCAGGATGTTGGCCAGGGTCACAGTCAGGTGAAGGCTTGACTAGAGGAGGATCTACTTCCAAGATGGTGCACTCCCATAGCTGCTGGCAGGAAGCTTCAGTTCTTTACCACATGGCCTTTCCATGGGACTGCTTGAATGTCCTCACAACAACATGGTGGTGGCTTCACCAAGACTGAATGATGCAAGAGAGAGATCAAGGAGGAGGCTTCACTGTCTTTCATGACCAAGTCTCCCGCTATTACTTCTATCACATTCTATTCGTTAGAAGTAGGTCACTAACACCTGCACTCAAGGGAAATTAGGCTTCATCTTAGAAAGGATGAGAGGTGAAGAACTTGTGAACGTATCTTAAAAACCACCTTAGGGGGGATAATTCATGGCATTCCATTTTATGGCGCTTTTCTTAATACACACTGTTCATTCATTTGTTCAATGACACATGATAGCTGAGGGCCTATATGTCCCAAACTCACAGGACTAGTGTAAGAATCACAAGTGTGATCACAGACAGATGTGGAAATAGAAGCTCAGTGAGGCTAACAATTTATTTGCTAAACCCATGTTGTTGTTGTTGTTGTTGTTGTTATGTGCCCTCCAGTCGGACCCAACTCATAGCGACCCCTCCTTGGGTTGTTGAGGCAGTCTCACTATGGAAGCAGATTGCCCAACCTTCCTTTTGAGGAGTTGCTGGTGGGTTTGAACCACCAGCCTTCTGGTTAGCAGTCAAGTGCCTTAGGCACTATGCTACCAGAGCTAAACCCATGGAGATAGTTAATGGCAGAGTTGGTATCAAAACCTTTATCTTCTAACTCCTTGTGTTTCTGTGACATTTCCTTGCAAACACTTGAAACTTCTCCCAATTCAGATGAAGTTGGGAAAAGGAGTCAGACTACTTAGGTTTAATCCCATAGTCAAGTGACAGGCTGGAAAATCTTACAGACTAATGGAATTATGGGGGGGGGGCAGGGAATAAATTCAAAATCTGCAGGTCAGGAAGCAAACTGGAGACTCCTGCGGGTTTGCTGTCCAAGATTTTTAGATGAGGTGAGAGAAAATGTCAGAGTAAAGAGGGAAAGGATTTTGCCAAATATCTGTTTATAGTCTGGAGGCAGAACACACCCTAAGGAAACTCTCTTTTCAACTGATTGAGTCCATTATCTTAGGTTACGTTATGGAATAGCAGCTAGGCTAGTATTTGGCCAAACTACTGGGACCATAGCCTAGCCAAGTTAATACGTAAAATTCAACTTCACAGCTAGAAACAGGAAGGGCCTTTGTAAGCTGTCAAGTGCTGTACCAAGATAGGAAGTATTATTGTGTAATACTCCCTTCAACCTGGAGTTGGAGGAGACATGGGATTTGGATAGGCAGAGAGGAGGGAAAGGTGTTCTAGGCAGGCAGCCCCCACAAGCAAAGGCTGGGTTGACCAGTGTGAGCCCCATCTCACTGCAAGCAGGCATAGGTATCTTGGTGCACTAGACACTGATGGCAAAAGTCTGGTCCAACAGGAGAGATGCTGATAAGAATGAAATTTTAATTTTGATGTTATCCAAGCTTCTTGTTAGAGATGAAAAAACAGGCTGAGAGAAGCAAAGTCTCTCAGCCTGATTCCAAGGCTCTTTGAGCTCAGTCTCCATCTCCCTGTCTGCTCAGAGCTGCTTAGCCCCTCTCCCATCTCTGTGAATCTGGGGATTGAACTTCATTGGCCTGTCTTCCCTGATTCCCCACTCTCTGCCCGCCCCCCTCTGGCTCTTTCAGAAGAAAGCCACCCGGGCTTGGCACAGATTGGTGCCCGTGATCCATCTGCCCACACCTGATGCTCTGTCAGCCATGTACTCCTACCTGCATACCCGCAAGATCAAGATCCTAGAGATGTTTAACAAGGTGAACTGCAGTGATGACCAGATCACCCGGGAGGAGTTCATTATGGCTCTGAAGGCAGTAAGTGATGCCCACTGCTCCCTGCTAGGACTGAAGGGGAGGATGTCCTTGTACTCCTAATTAATTGTAAAACCATATTGGAAAGTGTGGCTTGTCCAAATTAGACATGTACCATCCTGTACCAGTCTGCCTTGAGTGGAGAGTATGTGGAACATACTCATAACCATAACCATCTGCCTGGAGAATCACTTTCTCTTGCCCATTAAATCCTATAATTGAGTACAGAGAGACTTAGGCCTTCAGTCCTGCTTCTAGAACCTTCTCTGACTGTCCTGTACATATGAATCACCTAGGGGTCTTTTTGAAATGTAGCTTCTGATTCAGTAGGTCTGTGTGAAACCCAAGATGCTGCATTTCTAACAAGCTCTTGTCCTGGGTGATGCCAGTGGAACTGGTTAATGGACACTTTCTTTAAACATTTACGTTAATTACAAATACATAAAATTAAAATCACTCCTCAGTCACACCAGCCACATTTCTGATGCTTAGTAGTCACATAGGGCTATGATTACTCTATTGAACAATGCAGATCAGAGCATTTCCATCATCATTGAAAGTTCTGCTAGTCTAGCAGGAGTCTGCAAACTATAACCCAAGAGCCAAAAGCACCCTTCCCCCTGTTTTTGTAAATAAAGTTTTATTGAAACACAGCAATGGTTATTCACTTATATATTGTCTATGGCAGCTTTTGCATCACAAGGCTGAGTTGAGTAGTTGTGACAGAGACTATATGGCCTGCAAAATCTGAAATAATTACTTTCTGCTCCTTTACAAAAAAAAGTTTGCTGACCCCTGGTCTAGATGAATTAAGCTTTCATTTATTTTGAATACTGAGACACCTTTAAAAAAAAGTCTTTCAGAAGCAAATTACTACATCTTTTATGGTTTTAAATCATCACCAGTTTTAACCTTATTGTTTTATGGCATGTAATTATCTGAACATTTCAAAGATTTAATATGACAAAAAGATTGAAAAATAAAAGAGGTTGTTACTGAGTTGTCAGAGTGGAACTGGGCTCTGGAGGGTTTTCAATGCCTGATTCCTTAGAAGTAGATAGCCAGGCCTTTCTTCCAAGGTCCTCTGGGTGGACTGGAACCACCAACTTTTTGGTTAGCAGCCAAGTGCTTAATGGTTTGTGCCACCCAGGAACTCAAAAAAAGATAAAGTGTCTTTAATCATCATGAGGAGGCTTGGTTAAGCACTTGGCTGCTAATTGAAAGGTAAGTGGTTTGAACCAGCCAGCAGCTCCACTGGAGAAACATGTGGCTCTCTGCTCCCATAAAGATTACAGCCATGAAAACCCTATGGAGCAGTTCTGCTCTGTTTTATTGGGCCACTATGAGTTGGAATAGACTTGATAGCAATGGATTTAGTTTTTTTTTTTTTTTTTTTCCTTTCCTAAGGTGGCCTAGCCCATTGAATCAAGGAGGGGTAATTGAGGATGAGGTAGCTCTGGAAGGCAGAAGTGGTGGCATGTAGAGAAGGAGGTGATCCTGCCCACCAACCGAGGAAGCAGTGATCCTACTCTGAAATCCAGAAGGCCATGGCTCTGTGATTTGGGACACACACAAGAAAGTAGTGATCAAGTTCTGTATTATTTTATAACAATGATTGCTTTCCTCCAGCATCCAATAACATGTTCCTTATTTTTGTGCTCCCCAGAAACACCTTTAATGTTCACATTTCTAGCAACATTTTGTTCATGATAATATATGTATTCTTTAAAATAATAATAGATGCTTTCTCTTCAGCTCTCCTTACTCTTTTCTGAACTCTCACCGGAATCTTTATTAATATTCATAATTCTATCAATTGTATTTTTAAGGGAAATTTAGGTTTTTATCTACCAAGTAACTCAAAACTCTTCCAACTTTTACCTATTACCCAATTCAAACATCATTTCCACATTTTTAGCTATTTGTTACAGCAGCACCCCACTTCCCAGTACCAAAATTTTTTATTTTTTAATTGTGATTTGGGTGAAAGTTTACAGAGCAAATTCACTTTCCATACAGTAGTTCACATACATGTTGTCTGATGATATTGACAGTTTATCCCAATGCATCACCTGCCTTCCGACTTCCTCCCAATAGTTACCTCTTCCCTGTGTCCATCCCTCCATGCACTCTTGCCCCCTGAACTGTCTCCCTGTGCATAAACAGCCCTTCTTTCTCCCACGATTGTTCTCTCCAAGGGATGTATCTACTTCAGGTGCATGTTCAACTCTTATGCCTGTCTTTTATTTGGCTGGAAGCCACAGGTATGGGTTCAATTCCAGACCTGAAGGGCAGCTAGGAACCATAGTCTCAGTGGTTCTACCAGGCTCTATCAGACCATCACACCTGGTCTCCTTTTTTTTTTCCAAATGATGTTGAGTTTTGTTCCACATTGTTCTCCCTCTCTATCTAGGATCTCCTACGTAGATCCCCCTCTGAGTGGTTGACAGTGGTAGCCAGGCACCATCTAGTTCTTCTGGTCTCATAGTCGTATAGGCTGAGGATTGCATGGTGTACTAGTTGCAAGGACTAATTGTTTCCATAAATCTTTGGTTTTCTTCATTCTTCTTTTCTCTAGATGAGGAGAGACCCATTGTTGCATCTAGATGGCTGCTTGCAAGCTTTTAAGATCCCAGTTGCTACTCACCAAAGTAGGAGGTGGAACAATGTTCTATGTAGTATGTTATGCCAGTTGAGCTTGATGTCCCCTGAGACTATGGTCCCAAGCCCACAAGTTGAACTACTCGGTCCCTCTGGGTAGCTAGCTGTGACCAAGAAGTGACTACAACCTTGTTCCTTGTCAGCTGTACTAGACCCCTGGGAGTTTTTACAGAACATACACATACACTTGTAGAACCATTGTCTGCCAACCCTATACATGGTCTTTGGTATGCTCCCTGCTGCATGTTGTTGTTGTTGTTGTTATGTGCTGTTGAGTCAGACCCGACTCATAGCGACCCCTCCTTGGGTTTTTGAGGCAGTATCACTATGGAAGTAGATTGCCCCATCTTCCTTCTGAGGAATAGCCGGTGGGTTTGAACCGCCAGCCTTCTGGTTAGCAGTCAAGTGCCTTAGGCACCACGCTACCAGAGCTCTCCCCTACTGCATAGATATACCTAATAGTTCAGCCTGTCCACCCAGCTATCCACCCATATACCTGTTTGCCTTCACTGACAATGCAGTACTGCATGTGCAAAAGGGTTCATCTTTGTTGTCTGCACCTCCCATGTACCTCTCTCTGTCTACCTCTTCCTCAATGCCACCATGTTGATCACTCACATTTGGTACATTGCCCTTCTCTTCACCCAAATCAATACTTATGTCTACTTATCTAACAGTGTTCCGTACCCTACCCTCCCACCTCTGGTAACCAACAAAGAAAATTGCCTTCCATAGATAAACCTTTCCTTGACTTTTACAGTAACAGACTAATACAATATTTGTCCTTCTGTGATTGACTTATTTCACTCAGCATAATGTCCTCCAACTTCATCCATGTTATTCGGTGATTTGCAGATTCTACATTATTCTTTAGCATTGCATAGTATTCCATTGTGTATATGTACCATAGTTTGGTTATCCATTCCTCAGTTGATGGACACCTAGATTGTTTCCAACTTTTTGCTATTGTAAATAGTGCTGTGATGAACATGGGTGTGCATATGTCTGTTTTTGTCATGGCTATCACTTCTTCAGGATATATACCTAGAAATGGAATGGCTGAATCAAATGGTATTTCTATTTCCAACTTTTTAAGGAATCACCATACTGCTTTCCACAGTGGTTGTACCATTTTACAGTCCCACCAACAGTGTATGAGAGTCCTAATTTCTCCACATCCTCGCCAACATTTGTTATTTTCTGTCTTGTTGAACTTTGCTGTTAGTGCTGGC